TTTGATCCCCGCATGGGCCACTGTGAGCTGCACCCTCCTAAAAAAAAAAAAAAAAGTATAGTTACAAGAAATGAAAGCTGGCGCAGTTTTGCCCATCCCACCAAAACAAAAGTACCCAGCCACATAGAGAAGAGACCAGAAGGATATTCCACAAAATGTTCATAGTCATTTTCAGTGGGCCATAGGTAACTTGTTGTTTTGTACAGGTTTTTCTGGGTTTTCCAAGTTTTCCGTAATAAAAAAGTTATTTTTGAAATCAGTGGGAAAAGTTGTTTAAAACATACTTGGTGATATCATGAGATGAAACTTACCATCACTCTGAGTTCTAGGTCTGAATGAGGACAAACTGAGTTGTTTTCCATGGTACTTGTTAACTGTGGTTCAGCTATGTTCTCATGAGCCAGAATAGCAGTCTCACCCTCTCTTGGGAAAGTTCAGTGTGCAGAGGAGTCCCCAGAGGCTCTTTCGCACTCTTCCTTTGTCCCGCTTCCATGCCACGTACTGGTGCAAATATGGCATCATGTGGGCTGTCGGAGCAAGTCCTCTGGGACATGTCTCCACACCTCAGGGTACGAGGGGAAGGAATAAACAGTCACCCACCAGTGCAATTCAGCCATTGCGCATGACCAGTAGTCTCTGTATTAGTATCCTAGAGCTGCCGCAACAGAATGCCACAAGCTAAGTGGCTTAGAACAACAGAAATGTATTGTCTTAACAGTTCTGGAGGCGAGATATCCAAAATCAAGGTGTTGCCAGGGCCACACTCCCTCTGAAACCTGTAGGAGAATCCTTCCTTGCCTCTTCCTAGCTTCTGGTGGTTGGTAGGTGATCTGTGGGCATTCCTGGGCCTGTAGACACAGCACTCCAGTCTCCTGTCTTCACACGGCCTTCTCTCTCTAACTCTGTCTTCACATGGCCATTTTCTTACAAGGGCACCAGTCATGCTAGAGTAGGGTCCCACCCTCCCTCTTTTTAACTGATCACATCTGCAGTGACCCTATTTCCAAGTAAGATCATATTCTGAAATCCGGCAGGGGGATGGTGGGAGGTGGTGTTAGGATTTCAACATATCTCTTTTTTAGGGGACCACAATTCAACCCCATAAGTCTCTAACTCTTTTATAATGTATCTCTATCACTAAAAATGTTAAGCACATACTCCAGTAAGCATTCATGCTTATTTACATGAATATTAGAATGTAATACTATATTAAAATAATGTACATTAAAAAATAATCTGATCCTTATTAAAGGTTCAGGAAACCTGTTTGCTCCTTTTTAGTGATTGCCTCTGCTTTTGATTTTTTGAAATCTTGGTTAAATATTTGGTGAAATAAGTTAGAGGTCTAATTCTAAAATCAGTTTATTTTGATACTTTAACAGCTCTCATTGTTGAAAAGGCACATCACAAAGATATGTAGCAGCATTGGCTCCCCGTAATCACAAAACTCACTTTTTTCATTCATCTAGTAATTCATAGAATTTTGTTTTAATTTTTCTGTTCAATTTCCAACTTCTTGAGTCTCAAACAGGTTTCTTAAAAATGATGGTAAGGTCTTACATTTTTAATGTTTGTAACAAGGTCTTACATTTTTTTTTTTAAGATTTTTTTTTTTAATTGGGGAATTGGGGGATGGGAACAGCGCTGGGGAATTGGGGGAAGGGGAACAGACAAGTTGCTGTCCTTTTGTTCTTCAGTCTAGTTGTGGAGGACGTTGCTTCACTGGCCCAAGTTGGCACCATCATTGCGCTCTTCCCGGGCGAGGCAGATCAGTCGCCGGCTTCTGGACGGCCGCTCATGGCAGCTGCTGGCCGCTCACGCTGGCTGCTGGCTACACACAGTAGCCCATGGCAACCCACTGCAGCGGGGACTGCAGCCTACGCCGTCGCCGGCGACTCATGGCAGCCCAGCTCCAGGTCGAGCTGTTGTTCAGCATCTTAGCTGAAGAGGGCAGTGTCACTGGCCCTCATATGTGGGATCCGAACCGGGGCCCTCTGGCGTCCCAAGCCAGCTCTTAACCAGCGTGCCACTCGGCTGGCCCCAAGTCTTACATTTTTAATGTTTGTAACAAGTATGCTCAAAATCCCCTCAAATTTTAAACATGTCAGAAAACCCTGTTTCTGTTTAAGTGTAGATATGGGAACTGTGTATAGGTGTATAGGTGACACACTTGAATTAACATTGACAACAGTGGAAATGTTTCCAAGTGCCTCCTTTGAAAATTCTATCTCCCTATCACAAAGAGTAGTTACTTTCTGGTCATTGTGAAAATGACCTTTACCATTTAAAATGTTTTGGCCCAACTTCTCATTCTGATTAGACTCAGTCATTTTTCACTCTATCAGGTGATTGCCAAAGCGCTCAGAACTAGGAGTAAGAGGAGTGTCAGGCCTGCCATTATCTTTTTTTTTTTTTTTAATAGAGCCTATTTTATTTTTAAACTTTATTGGGGAACAATGTGTTTTTTCGGGGAACAATGTGTTTTTTCTAGGACCCATCAGCTCCAAGTCAAGTTGTTGTCCTTCAATCTTAGTTGTGGAGGGCGCAGCTCAGCTCCAAGTCCAGTCACTGTTTTTAATCTAGTTGTGGGAGGTTCACAGCCCACCATCCCATGCAGGAGTCGAACTGGCAACCTTATTGTTAAGAGTATGCGCTCTAACCGACAGAGCTATCCGGTCGCCCCAGTATGTTTCTTAATTTTTCAAATTAAAAATAAACGTTAATGATAGTTATATCAATTTTTTTCTGCCCTTTAGGAACATCTGCTCTAAACCATGGTAGTGGGTAATTTAAAGGGTGGAAGGATGTAGCAACAGCAAGGCAGGGACCCAAGGAGAACAGAAGGATTCGTTGGTATTAGTGTCCCTGCTGTTCTCTTTTTAGACATACCGGGAGCCTGTGTCGGACTACCAGGTCCTGCGGGAGAAGGCTGCGTCCCAGAGACGAGATGTGGAGCGGGCACTCACCCGTTTTATGGCCAAGACAGGCGAGACCCAGAGTCTTTTCAAAGATGACGTCAGCACGTTTCCATGTGAGTCTCTCCCCTTGGTGGACCCTGTCTTGTCATTTGAGGTTATCACACCAGCTTCCCTTTCTCTCAGTGTGGTAGAAGAAGCGAATAAGCATTGTTCTTGTCTCAGGTGCATCTCGTTCTTCAGATTCCTGGCTCCTTTTCCCAGGTCTTAGGGGCATTGCCCCTAACTGATGACCCTGAAACAGTAATGGCCTCTGTTGGGACTGGCTGCTTGAGGTACTTTGAGTTTAGGTGACTTCAAGGGTGGCTGAGCCCTAGGCATCAGAGAGACTCATAGTACAGGTGGCAGTCCTGATAGTAGAAGGGACACTGGCATCAGGGGACAGGGCAGTTACAGGACATCTGCCAAGCTTTGCCCTTCACCATGCCCTCGTGGGTACCATCTCATTTCATTTCTCATCACAGTACTAACATTTCGCTGCTAGTTATTAGATGTTGTTAGATGTTCGCTTCATCTCGGTAGGCCTCAGTTTTTCCAGAGGTGAACGAAGGAGACTTCTTTGGGTGATTCATTCAGTCAGCGAGGGTTCACTGTGTGCCTGGCCCTAGAATATTAGCAGCTAAGCTATTAAGAGGCAGATGCTGGGCCGGCCGAGTGGCGCGATGGTTAAGAGCTGGCTTGGGACGCCAGAGGGCCCCGGTTCGGATCCCACATATGAGGGCCAGTGACACTGCCCTCTTCAGCTAAGATGCTGAGCAACAGCTCAACCTGGAGCTGGGCTGCCGTGAGTCGCCAGTGACGGCGTAGGCTGCAGCCCCTGCTGCAGTGGGTTGCCATGGGCTACCGTGTGTAGCCAGCAGCCGCAGTGAGCGGCTGTCCAGAAGCTGGCGACTGATGTGCCTCGCCTGGGAAGAGCGCAAAAAAAAAAAAAAAGAAGAGGCAGATGCTGTGCTAACCATTTCCCTTACATCATCTCATTAAATCCTCTTGAGAGCCCATGAGTTAGGAGCTGTTATCACTACCATCATAGGAAGTTAGGGTTTATAGAGAAGAGAAATGAAGTAACTTGCCCAAGGTCACATAGCTGCTGGGTAGCTTTCAAACCTAGCTCTTTCTGACTGCAGGACCCATATCTGAACCACGTAAAAGTGATCGTTGAGTGTCTCCTGGGAATCACATTCTACTGTAGAAGTATACATAGAAACTTTTCGTTTATTCATTTATTATTATTTTATCAACAATTTCTTCTTCTCACCCTTAGTGCTTTTTGGAAGAACTGAAACATCCATTTACCTGAAGTGTCCTCTAGCTCAGTGGATACACTTATATGCAGAGAGTTCTCTAGTCCAGCATTTGGCCTTGAATCCTTCAGGCTGCTGGGATAAATATCTCTGCTCTAGAAATGAGGCTTAGAGGGGTTAATGGGCCTTGGATACAAGATCACTAAGTTAATGCTTTGCTAGGATTCATCTCTAGTCCTGTCTGCTTTTAGTGATACTTGAGAAAAGTGGGCTCTGAAGTCATTGCCTGAGTTCAAATCCTACCCTGCCACTCTCTGTGTTGGAAGAATCAGTTAACCTTTCTGTGCCCTAGTTTCCTCATCTGTAAAATGGGATTGGCAATTGTACTTAAAATTGTACATGGAGGTAAAGATTAAAGATAGCATGTGTAAAGCCTATAGGAGATCGGTAAGTGCTCGGAGCGAGCCAGCCATTATTGTCATTCGGTGCCGCTCACTCATCTGTCGTAAGACTCTAGGCCACCTGCAAGGACTCCATGACAGTGGGATTGTGCCTCTCTTTTCATTCCCCAGTGATTGCGGCCAGACCTTTCACCATCCCCTACCTGACGGCTCTTCTTCCATCTGAGCTGGAGATGCAACAAATGGAAGAGACGGATTCCTCAGAGCAGGATGAGCAGACAGACACCGAGAACCTCCCTCTTCATATCAGCACGGTAGGTCCCGCCTTCTGCCTGCCTCAGGGTACCGCCCCCCTCAAGTAGCCCACACTGCCCTCAGCCTGTCACCTGGGAATTCGCCATGACCTAACCCAGGCTTTATTAGGGACTTTCATGATGGGCTCATGATGACCCAAGTGTGACATGATCTCTAGCTTGAGAGGCAAGTCCGTGTCCTGGGGATTCATTCATTCACTCAGCAAATATGAAATGAGCACCTGCCAGAGCCAGGCAGTTCCAGAGGCTGGGAAATTAGGAGCTAACAACACACAAAATTTCCTGCTCTCATGGAGCTAAGGAAAACACAATAAATTAGGAGATAAGAAGTAGGTATGGGCGTGGGGGGATGTGGTATTAGACAGGGTAACTGAGAAGGTGACATTTGAGTAAAGACCTGAGGGAGCAAAGCTTGCACATGCCTGGGAGTAGAGCATTCCTCTTACAGGGAACAACAGATGCAAAGGCCCTGAGGTGGGAGCTGTTGTGTTGAAGACTAGCAGGGCCATGAGGGTGGTCAGAGAGGCATGAACAAGGAGGAGAGGGTAGGAGAGGATGAGGTCAGAGAGCTCATGGGGGAGTCAGATCTTAAATGCTACATTAAATAACCACTTGGACTTTTTCTCAGTCACATGGGAGTCACTGGCAGTGCTGAGCAGAGGAGGGTCAGGAGCTGATGTGGGTCTGTTAACAGCATCAGCCAGGTTGCTGTGTTGACAGTAGACTAGAGGGTAAGGGCAGAAGGACCATTCAGAAGGCCATTGCAGTAAACTGAGAGATGGTGGCCGAAGCAAAGATAATGAGACATGGTCACATAGATTATTTGGTCACATTCTAGATTATTTTCAGAGCAGATATGAGAGAAGGAGAGAGTCCAAGAGAAATACAAGGTTTTTTGTCTAAACAACAGGAAAGATGGAATTGCCTCCTCCAAAAAGGGAAGACTGTTGGGTGGAACAGGTGTGTCGGGGAAAGCCAGGAGTTCAGGTTGAGACGAGGTATGTTGGAGATGCTTATTAGACATCCAGGTGGTGATGTCAGGTAGAGAGAGAGATGTATGAGTTGGAGTTTGAGGAACTGTTAGGGCTGTCGATGCAAATTTGGGAGTAACCAGCATGTAAATAGTCTTTAAAACCATGACACTAGATGAGCTCCTTGGGGGTGAGTGAACGTAAACAAGAGAAGAGGTGCCAGGACTGAGCCCTGGGCTCTCCACTGTGCCAGGGGTGAGGAGAGGAGAAGGAACTAGCCCAGGACACGGAGAAGGCCCCATCGGAGAGGCCGGAGAGCCAGGAGGGTGCGGTGTCCCGGAGGCCAAGGCAAGAAAGTGTGTCAATGAGAAAACGGTGATCAGCTGTGTCCAAAGCTGCAGTTAGTTCCAGTAATACGAGGACTGAGAATCTGTCCGTTAGATTTAGCAATGTAATTGTGAACGTAGTTTGTGACCTTGACATGAGCAATTTCAGTAAGAATGAGAGCAAGGGCCTGCACTGAAGTCATAGAGAACGGTAGAAGAGAGATGGGGGTCAGCGAGGATAGCCTTGCGCTGCCCGTCACAGCACCACCAGCCACATCTGGCTTTTTAAATCAAATAAAACTAAAAATTCAGCTAGCCACACTAGCCACGTTTTAACAGCCACGTATGGGTAGTGGCTACCATACTGGGCAGTGCAGATCTGAACATTTATATCATCATAGAAAGTGCCATCAGACAGCACTTATAGATAGACAATTGTTTCAGGGAATTTTGCTGTAAAGGAAAGGAGAAATGAAGTGGTAACGAAAGGGGGGAAAATTAAGGCGCTAAGAGAGGTGTTGTTTTTTTGGTTTTTAGGATAAAAGAAATAACCGGATGTGTGTATACTAATGGGAGTGATCTGGTAGGGAGGTGACACTGATGCAGGAGAGCGACACATTTTGGAATGATGCTCTTCTGTAGGTGGCAGGGCATGGGATCTAATGCCCAAATGGAGGGTTAGCCTTGTTCTGAACATTTCATACCCAGGATAGGAGAGGGCGTGAGTGGGTACAGAGACAAAGGTAGGTGAGGAGACGAGCTCCTCGGAACTGGTGAGTGATCGTTCCTGGTTATCGATGTTTTGTACTTGGCAAGTAAAAGGAGAAGAGCCCACTCTTGCTCTTGCATCTTGGGAGAGAGTACAAGGAGAATCCCAGAACTACTGGAAGCTCTGATGCCTTTAAGGCTTACAGGACCCTTACAGTCAGGTGACCATATCCATCCATCCTTAAGATGGGTTTTTTTTTTTCAGCAAAGGATGCCTTAGTGGTTGAAGCTGGACTGAGCGTTCCTCATGTTTTCTAAGGCACGATGGCAGCCAGCAGCTCCCGTCTGAGGTGGAGCGTGCCGGTTACTTGAATAACTGTTATTTGCTGAAACTCTCCTTTGCTTGAATACCATTTCTTTAAGCTTGAATGACTCCTTTCAGAATTAGGGCTGGCAGCCCATGGCTTTATATAAAACAGAGAAACTTATTACTCTCCACTTCTGTTTTGGACTCAGTTAATTCGGTCTGAGATATAGTGATTGGATTGTGGACTAAGATGAGGCTCACCTTAGGAGGAGGAGGAATCTTCTAAGCAAACATCATCACTCCTTTGTAAGCGCAAAGCCCTGAAAGGGCTTGCAGATGTGTTACTAACACTCTGGGTAGTAGGTGAGGTCATGACAGTGAGTGAACTGAGGCTAAAAAAGTGGCAGGAGCTGCCTGAGCGCTCCTGGGTACTGAGAGGCCCAGCCAGACGGCAAGCGCAGAGCAGGAAGACCTGACCCTTAGAGTCAGACGGGCCTGGCTGCAAACCCAGACTGTGCTACTTCCCAGATTTGTGACTGTGGTTCGGTTACCCAACGTCTGAGTCTTGTTTCCTCATAAGTACCGATAGGATTAGGAACGCCTACCCGAAGGGCAAGCGGGAGCCTAAGATGACCTAATATGTATCATGTGCGCCTGGCACATGGCAGCTAATGGCACCCATTGCTCCCCCCCCTGCTGCTTTAGGCTGTGCAACCATGTGCTCTTCTGTAAAAAAAAAAACACAAAAGACTTCAAGAAAAGGATTCTAGCAGCAATTATATACAATCGATTGGACTTGTTCATGTTATTTGGTTGGACTGGCAAATGTAATCGTATTTTTCAAAATGCAGAATGTCAAAAAAATGGATGGTGACAATTCTCCCTGCCATCCTTGTTCCCCGTTATCCACTCTCCCTCCTACAAAGCAACCAGTCACCAGTTTCTTGTGTGTCCTTGTAGGGACATAGTTTTTCTTTTAATTGTTATTTTAAACACAAAGAGCAAGTCACAAGTGGTATCCCCCTGGCTGGTTTCCCTCATCGGTATATCGTGGCGAGCATTCCATGTCTGTATGTAAGGAGCCTCTTTGACCCTCCTCACAGCCTCATCATATTCCATTGTATGGATATGACAGTTGAATTTAACCAGTCCCCTGCGAACCTGTAGGCTGTTTTCAATCGTTAGCATTTACAGACATTGTTACAGTTAATAAAAATAACTGGTATTTTAGATTATCTTTTTTATTTTTTAAAGAAATTTTACTGGGGAACAGTGTGTTTTTTCAGGACCCATCAGCTCCAAGTCAAATAGTTGTTTTAATCTAGTTGTGGAAGGCGTTTTTCCAGGACCCATCAGCTCCAAGTCAAGCCGCTGTCTTCAATCTAGTTGTGGAGGGCACAGCTCCTTGGCCCATGTGGGAATCAAACCGGCAACCTTGGTGTTATGAGCCTGTGCTCTAACCACCTGAGCTAACCGGCTGCCTCTTAGATTATCTTTTTTTTTTTTAAAGATTTTATTGGGTAACTGGGGGAGGGGAACAGACAAGTTGCTGTCTTTTTGTTCTTCAGTCTGGTTGTGGAGGACATCGCTTCACTGGTGCATGTTGGTATTGTGATCATTGCGCTCTTCCCGGGTGAGGCAGTCGGTCGCCAGCGTTGGACGGCCGCTCACAGCAGCTCATAGCAGCTGCCAACCGCTCACACTGGCTGCCGGCCATTCACAGTAGCTTATGGCAGCCCACTGCAGCCCCGCTGCAGCCTACTTCGTCACCGGTGACTCATGGCAGCCCAGGTCCAGGTCGAGCTGTTGTTCACCATCTTAGCTGTAGAGGGCACAGCGTCACTGGCCCATGTGGGATCTGAACCAGCAGCCCTTCAGCTCAGAGCTCGCACTCCCAAGCCAACTCTTAACAAACACGGCCACTCGGCCGGCCCTAGATTATCTTTTTATCTGAGGATGGTAGCACATCTCACAAAGACTGTTGTTAGGTAGTTAGTTTATTTAACCTGTTTCTTGTTTCTCCATCTACTTGAACATAAAGAGACTATTCATTTTAAATTAGTGTATAATAAAATTGTTTTTCTCGCCCATTTGAACTAGCCGCCTCCTACAGGCAATCCCAGTGTCTAAACATTTTCTCTTTGATAAACAATGTACCAGTCATTTCCTCAGCAACTATTTATTTAGTACCTGGCGGTAGTGCCAGATAATGTTTCAAGTGCTTGGGACACATCAGCGAACAGAACAAACAAAACATCTGCCTTTTGGGAGCCTATGTGGAGGCAGCAGGAGAATGACAGTAAACGTACTATGTAAATAAATCATTATGTAGTTTATTAAAGATGAAAATGCTGTTGGGGGACAGGAGGGGACCCAGTAGGGGAAGATCCAGGGTGAAGGGTGGAGGTGTCAGTTTTAAATGGATGCTCAGGGTAGACATTGCTGAGAAGGTGACATTTGAGCAGAGACTTGAAGGAGGTGAGGAAGTGAGCCATGTGGCTATCTGGGGAAGAATGTTCTAGAAAGGGAACAGCTGGTGCAAAGGCCCTGAGGAACAGTATGGAGGCAAGTGTGGGTATGGCTGAGGAAGGGAGAGGAAGGGGTCAGAGCATATAGGGCCTTGTGAACAGTTTTAAGAACTGCCTTTTAACTGGGTGAAGTGGGAGGTGTGGGAAGGTGTGGAGCAGAGGGGGATGTATCTGGACTTCCAGGATTATGGACTGCAGAGGGCGCAGGCAGAGGGTAGACTGTGCAAAGAGATCAGCCAGGAAGCTGCTACAGTCTAGACGAGAGACAAGGTTGGGTCCTCCGAGGATGGTCGCAGCAGGAATAGTGGAAGTGGTCAGATTCTGCCTTATTTTGAAGGTAAGGCCAAAAAGTTTTCCTAACAGACTGGATGTGGAATGTCAGAGAAAGAAAAGCAAGAATGGCTGCGGAGTTTGGGGCTTGAACGACTGGAAGAATAGAGTTGCCATCACCTGTGACCGAGAGGGCTGTGGGAAGAGCTGTTCACATGTAGGGCAAGGTCCAGAGCTCTGTTTTAGGCACATTAAGTTTGAGATGCCTGCTTGACACCCACGTAGGGATGTTGAGCAGAAGCAGCTGTGTGAGCCTGGAGGTCAGGAGAGAGGTAAGGGCTGGAGAGGTTCCTGTGGGAGTTGGCGTGGAAATGGTACTGAAAGCCGTGAGACAGGGTGGCAGTCATCCTGTGTGTGGCATTTGTTAGAATGGGCACGTGCTGCCTGAGTCGGGCCTTTTATGACCCTTTTTTCTTTTTTTTTTTTTAATTGGGGAACAGCCATGGTCATTGGTTACACATTGCTTTCATGCTACAATGGCATAGTTGACTCGTAGTGAGGGCGCATACAGCTCACAGTGGCCATTGCGGGGATTGAACCGGCAGCCTTGGTGTTATCAACACCACACTCTAACCAACTGAGCTAACTGGTCACCCCTTGACATACTCTCCTGATCCCACTTTTTTTTTTTTTTTTTTTAGATTTTATTGGGGAATTGGGGAAGGGGAACAGACAAGTTGCTGTCCTTTTTGTTCTTCAGTCTAGTTGTGGAGGACGTCGCTTCACTGACCCATGTTGGTATTATTATTGTGCTCTTCCCGGGTGAGGCAGTTGCTCGCCAGCCATTGGACAGCCGCTACTGAAAGCACACGCCAGCTGCCGGCCACTCATGGTAGCGCATGGCAGCCCACTGCAGCCTACACCGTCGCCAGCAACTCACGGCAGCCCAGCTGCAGGTCGAGCTGTTGTTCACCATCTTAGCTGTAGAGGGCACAGCGTCACTGGCCCGCATGTGGGATCCAAACTGAGGCCCTGCTGCTCAGAGCTGGGTCCAAAGCCAACTCCTAACCAATGCACCACTCAGCCAGCCCTTTTTTTTTTTTTTAAACAAATCTTGTCAGTTTGGTACTTTGCTTCTTTTATCTACTCCTCGTATCCTTCCCTATCGCAAGGCTGCCTGTCCCTACAGGAGGCAAGAAAGTGGCATTTCCAGAAGCTATTTGGGAGAAGAGAAGGTGTCCCATGACTCAGGACCCACATTTTGGCCTTGTGAGAGACAGTGAGCCAAATGGAGGGAGTCCCAGTACCCTCCAGCAGAGGTCCAAAGGCTGGCTTCTCAGCACCTCTGTGTCACTCCCATCCTTTTTCTCAGGAAACACTTAAGGCACAGTTGAAGTGAACCCCCAGTAACTTTGAAGATAGGGCTTTTACCATAGAGACATGAGAGGAGGTGGGTAGGGGGTGAGTTACTAAATTAAACTGTAAAGAACTTCAGAAAGGCTGGGAGCCAACTATCTGAGGCAGGTCTGCTTGTGGTCAGACCTTGTATCTGGCACGAGCCACGTTTACCTTGGGACATGGCTTTCCAGAGAGTCGCCTGTGGTCCCACTGGATCAAGTGTTGGCAAGAGAAAGCACAGGGACGCTGGATGGAACTGGGTCTTTGGGAGAACGCTTGCAGTGGGACAGTGAGAGGGCGTGTAGCAGAGCCTAGACGTGATCGAGTTTCTTCAGGTCCACTAAGCCTGAGCCTGTTGCCTGCATCCTAGACCAGCAGTCTCTGGGAGAGTCTGCTATGCATTTCGTGCCATCTAATCACAGTGCCCTCTGCCCTGCTGCCTTTTTTTTTTTTTTTAGCTGAGCCCTCCTGACACCTGTTGGCAGCTCAGTGGCTGCTCAGCTCAGGCCGGGAATTGCCCTGCTGCATTTTGACAACAACCCCCTGGTTGGGGTCAGGTCCTCTTTTGCCTCAAGGTCTGGAACAGTAATCTCAGTGATAGAACCCTTGGCCTGTCACCAGGGGGCGCAGCCCAAACAGCTTCAGGTCACTTACGTCATTTAGGCTTAAGCTTTGAGGTCAAGTTCTTCACGTGATTTTCGCCCCCTCCCCGGCAGGTTTTGCTCGTTTTTTACAGAACTTGGAAAATAGAAGAGAGTATAAATAAGGAAAGGAGAATCAGTCACCCATACTCCCAGAACCAGTTTAAAATTTCAGCATATTACTTTTTTCTGTCTACATACAATTATGATTAAAAATTTTTCTCGTTGGGATCATATTGAATATATGTAAACTTATAAATGTTTCTGCAGAATCACTTTCTTCAAAAGCCAAACTGGAAAGGCACGATCCCCAGGTCACAGTTGGGGGTTATCAGGGATGTTCTCATGTTGGTGCCGCATGCTGTTCTTTGCCTTGGTGGGAACCCTCAGGGCTCAAGAGGTTTCTGGCCTCTGCTGCAATATGACCATTGGTACCATGTAGCAAGTACCAGTACTGTCGAGAATTTAGGGGGAGATATATTATGATTTACATTAGCTTTGGTCCAGGAAAGGCCCTCTGCACATGATTTGTCCTGACCCTGTGTCTCTCAGTTCTGCAAAGCATGGAGGGTCACTTCTCTTTGTCCTTTGTCTCCCCAAAGGTTGGGCTTCCTCCCTAAAGCATGTAAATCTTAGCCCCTGACTCCTGCCCTTCCCAGGTCTCTATTCTTTCTAACTCATGTCCCTCCCTTATCAAGAGTTCAGGGTTTTGTGTTCTGTGTTCCACTGTATCAAAGCTGGTCTCACCTTCCTCTGATAGCCAGCCGCTGCCTGGGCCTCATTTTCTCTGAGACAGAGATAGGCACGTTGAAAAGAAGGGGGTCCCTGGGCTTCCAGTTTCTCGGTGGAAAACTAATAGTAGTTCTTGTTATGGGCATGACCTCTTTCCGTATGCCACTGGTGTTTTGCTTTATTTCGGCTTTCGCTCACAGGATGATTCCGGAGCCGAGAAGGAGAACACATCTGTCCTGCAGCAGAACCCCTCCTTGCCGGGGAGCCGTAATGGGGAGGAGAACATCATCGACAACCCCTACCTGCGACCTGTGAAGAAGCCCAAGATCCGCAGGAAGAAGTGAGTTGGAGGCTGGGGTGCAGACAGGCCTCTCTGGCCAGCCGAGGTGATCTTCTCTGCTCCTTGGCAGAAAAGAGAGGCTCACCAGCGGGTCTGAACCTTGGGGCAAGCTACTTTGGTGAGAGGAAATGTAGAGGGTGCCAAAAAAACGTATACACAGTTTAAGAAAAGAAAACTGTATTAAAATTGTAATACTCAATATATACCAATAACAAAAGATGAATACAAGTCACGTTTGACTTCTGCAATTACAAGAGGTGCCCAAATTGGTTACCATCAGCATCCAGACACTTCTGATTATGGTGAACCACTGCTTGAGCAACGCTGACCGCAGTGCCCACTTGTGTACATTGTTTTGGCACCCCGATATTATCTCTTTCCTCCCCTTACTCACCTCCCATGTGTACCTCTTGTTGCATAGAGCCCGGGACCGACCCTCACAGCCCTGAAGTTGTTCCCCCCCAGAAGGAGAGCACATGGAGCCCCTACCAGGCAGGCTCCATGGACTCCTCTTCTTTCTAGGTCCCTCTCGTGAGCTGAGAAGGAAGCCTGCCTCGTACAGAGACGTGGACACCACCTTCCTGGGGGAGTTAAAGCCACTTGAGGGAAGAAGAAAGGGTGGCTTCCTCATGGTCCAGCCAAGGCTGCCTGGGTGTGACCGGGCATGATTTTAGTAGCAAACTATATTAAGATTACCTATTTTCACTGGATGTTTGGGTTGAGTAAGATCGGATGGTAATAACGAGGCTTGCTTAATCAACCAGGTCATCCTGTGGGGCGTGGGAACCACTGGTGACTTGATTTACTGTCATAAGACTTGATTCCTTTGGAACTTGGAAGGCCAGGGGAGGTGGTAGGAGAGAGAGTGCCAGAAAGACTGTTTGCCTAGTTTCTATTTCAGGATATCCGGATCCCTAGTATTGACTCTCAAACAACCTGTGGCACCAATTTATCTTCCTAGGACCTCATTCTTATTTCTCTCCTCACCTGGGCTTCAGGTGCCCTGTTGAGCTGACCAAAGGTAACTTAGCCCTCCCACACCGTGTTGGGCACAGGGGGCCCACACATCACTCCTTGATCAGGGGCCGGCAGGAATCAGGAGGCCTGAGCAGATACGTAATGTGGAGGAGAGTGATGCGTAAGGGCAGCACCAATTCTCTCATTAGCATCTGCTGAACTCCCTGAAGTAGGGCAACCCTATCTCCTGAGAGATTTATCGTTTATATCTTTCTGTGGAATGTTATGTCCTGTCCCATGCTGGGAAAAGAGTTTTCTCTCACAAGAGCCTACCTAGATCAGTGGGTTTGTTATGCTGTGACTTGATAGAGGAATCACCAACTTGAATAAACAGGACAAGGATCTGATGGGGGGTCGGGGAGGCACAGGGGGTTGGGTGATGAGATTCTGAGGGCTGGATTTAGCCTTGTATTCGGAAAGCTGAGAAGCCTGGTTGATCTGCTGGAAGGCCTGCACAGACGGAGGGCCATGCTCCCATCTTGTGGAAGTGGGCTGAGAGCAGCCTGCAGGCCAAACCTAGGTGTCCTTCCAGAAGCAGGTCCGAATTTGCTCAACCTCTTTACCTCCTGGGAAGAGAAGATTCCGTTCTTGATGTACCTGACAAACCAAACAAGTCTCTAAGGAAGATATTGGGCAAGCTGATACCCTTTGGCTGGTCTCTGGAGGAAGAGATTTAAAAACCAAGTCTCAGGAAGAAAAACGCCGGTGACACCTGGAAGTTAACACAGGATAATCGAGGAGTCCCCTGGGTTATCATCCTGAAGTCCACATTGAACTCTCCTTATACTCGGTTTTCACAGTCTTCTCTTAATCTTCTGTGCTCTTGGTGAACTTGAAAACTCAATAAACTTGGTGACTTGACAGCAGGCTCCATGTTCCTCTGGGCTCACTGTTCTCTAGCGCATTCCATCCCATCTCCTGGAAGGAAAGAGCTGCTTGTCAGTAACTGAAGGGGGCTTGCTCATGAGAAACCAGCTCTGGACCAGATAAAGAGTTTTTCAGATTTGTAGTGACCTGAAACTCTTCCAGTTGAAAGCAGTCTGGTGAGCCTATGCTGACCCCTCAGCATGTGTGATACGGCTCCTGGCAGTGCTTGGCCTGTTGAGTTACTTCATTCAACGTCCCACGTTTGAGCCATGGCAGGTGCATGGCTTGCTGCCTTCACTGCTCTTGGGAACAATCATCTCAGCCAACATTTCTGCCGTTCCTCTTTTCACCATCTAAGACAAAGCCCTGTTGAGTGCCTGTCACGCTGAGGGAAAAGGTGGGATTTGGAAAAGAGTCGCCATTTCTGCTGCGAGAATTTCAGAGGCGGTACTGCTGTAATTCTGTTCTGGGTGAGAGACACTGGGAGATGGTTAGGCAACTTGAAACATTGACCCGACTGTTGTTATTGTGTAAAAACTGCATACTTCTCAGTATATTTATAAATTTCTATTTTTTGTAACTTTGGGGGAATTCTTAGAGGGAAAACGGCCAGATTAAGAATGTGATTTATGAGCTCTTAATAAAATGTCATTAAAAAAACTTCATAAATGAAACAGAATTCTAAGCTTTGGACTTAATTTGTATTCAGAAGTCATAGTGATGAATAAAGCTGTAAAGAGATTAGTAAGGTTTAGCCCTTCTGTTGGACTAGGTACCCCTGGGAACCATCCAAAACTTTTTAGTTTGGAAATAGTCAAACCCAAAATTAGAGAGTAAAGTGTATATACTTTCCCTATGTATCCTTCTCCCAGCTTACACGCTTATCAACATCTTTGCAATTCTGTTTTATTTATTTCTTCCACTTTTCTTTCCTTTATTTTTTCTTCTTGGAGTGTTTTTTCAAGCATACCAAGACCTAGGTCACTTAATCTATAAATATGTCATCATGCATTTCTGGTAGACCTTAACCTTTTTTTAAATTTTGAAATAATTATAGACTCATAGGATGTTGCAAAAAAAAAGGAAACATAGTGTTAGGGGAGGTCCCATGTACCCTTCACCCAGTTCCCCCAGCGGTAGCATCTTATATAGTGCAATATCAAAACCAGGAAATTGACATTGGTACAATCCACAGAGCTTATTTAGATTTCACCATTTCCTGTGTGTGTGTGTGTGTCTCTATGCAATTTGGTCATGTGTAGATTTGTATAAACACCACCACAATCAAGATACCCAGCATTTCCGTCCCCACCAGGCTCCCTCAGGCTATCTCTTTATCACCATACCCACCTCTCTTCCCCATCCCTAATGCCTGGCAACCACTGTTCTGTTCTCCATCTCTATGATTTTACTTAAAGAATGCTATATACATGGAATCATAGTTTGTAACCTTTTTTTTTTTATTTTATTTTATTGGGGAACAGCCATGGTCATTGGTTACACATTGCTTTCATGCTACAATGATGGCATAGTTGACTCTTTTAGGGAGGGTGCAGCTCACAGTGGCCCATGCGGGGATCAAACCAGCAACCTTGGTGTTATCAGCACCATGCTCTAACCAACTGAGGTAACCGGTCACCCCAAGTTTGTAACCTTTTGAGGTTGGCTTTTTTCACCCTGTATAAGTGAGTGAGGGCCTTCCAGCTCGTGTGTGTCCATAGCTCCTTTTTATTGCTGAGTAGCAGTCCATGGCATGGATGTACCACAGTCTGTTTAACCAGTCACACACTGAGGGACATCTAGGCTGTTTCCAGTTTGGGGCTATTAGGAATAAAGTGGCTATGAACATTTGTGGATAGGTTTTTGTGTAAACATAAGTTTTCATTTCTCTGAGATGAATACACAAGAGTGCCATTGCTGGGACCTGTGGTAACTGCATGTTTAATTTTAAAAGAAACACTATTTTCCCAGGTGGCTGTACCATTTTGCATTCCTACCAGCAATGTATGAGTGAGCCAGTTTATCCACATCCTTGCCAATATTTGGTGTTATTATTTATTTTAGCCATTGTGATTGGTGTGGTAATATCTCACTGTGATATTAATTTACATTTCCCTAACGGCTAGTGGCTGAACGTGTTTTCATATGCTTATTTGCTGCCTATATATCCTCTTTGGTGAAATGTCCATTTGAGTCTCTTGCCAATTTCCAGTTGGACTGTTTCCTTGTTTTGAGATTTCTTTATATATTCTAGATACAAGAACTTTGTCAGACATGTGGTTTGCAGATATGTTCTCCTACGCTGTAGCTGGTCTTTTCATTCTCTTTATAGGATCTTTTGCAAAGCAAAGCTTTTAATTTTGATGAAGTGCAATTGATCAATTTTTTTTCTTTTATGGATTGGGTTTTTAGTGTCAGGCCTAAAAATTTGCACCAAGCCCTAGGTCCTGAAGATTTTTTTTCTAGTATTTTTATAGATTTATGTTTTACATTTTAGTCTATGATCTAGTGAGAGTACATTGTTTTATAAGGCATGAGGTTTAGGTTGAGTTCATTATTTTGCCTGTGATGTCCAATTGATCCAGCACCGTTTGTTGAAAAGCTGCCCTTCCTCCATTGAATTATGTTTGTACCTTTGTCAAAAATTAGGGTTTTGGGGTTTTTTTTTTGTATGGAGCGTAACTTGTGTAGGTCGATAGACTTTCTTCCTTCCTTTCTTTCCTTCTTTCTTTCTTTCTTTATTTCTTTCCTTCTTTCTTTCTCTTTTCTTTCTTTTTTTCTTTCTTTTTTACACCAATCAACATGTCAATAACACATTTAACAGATGAACAATCTCGTGATATCCACTAATATTCAGTTCATATTCAGATTTTTCCAGTTGTCTCAAAGATGCCTTTGTTTTTAGCAGTTGGCTTGTTTAAATCAGTATCCAAATAAGATCCACACAGTATTACTGGTTTTTCACATCTCCTAAGTGTACAACAGCCCCCCTGGTTTGTGTGCGTGCCCCTTCCAGACCTCCCGCCTCCTGGGCCAGCAGCCCCAGCCTAAGGATGCTCAGCGTTTTGACCAGGTGGCAGTTAAATGGTGATTCGTGGAGTTAACTGAGAAACCAGTAGTAACCAAATGGCCTGGCTTTGGGGAGAAACAATCCATAAAAGGAGCTGGCATTCCTAAGCTTTGATTTTCTGGAATCCTGAAGTCTCTTTCCTTAGAGGCCTCCTCCTTCAGTCAAACAAAGCTTGGTGACATTTGTATGTACAATTCACCAGCTGTGAGAGTTTGGGCAAGTCACTAAACTTCCAAACCAATTTCTAGAAAATGGGATGATTATGATACCTCATCAGGAGGATTTAGTGAGAATGTCTGCAAGTGCACTTTAGAAATGACAACTTTATTCCATTGCCAGACCTTTTTCTGTTGCTTTTAAAATTATATATAAAGAATAATACTAATGGAGAACTTCACTATTGCCAGTCATGGTTCTGAGTGTCTTACACATATTGACTTATTTACTCCTCACAGTTCCCTCAAAAGTAGATGTTCTTACTGTCCCCGTTTGCAGTTGAGGACACAGAGGCCCCAGGAGGTCATTAACTGACCTCAGTCTGCTCGGCCACTGAATAGCCACTCTGCAGCCCCCACCCAGGCATTCCGCTCCAGAGTTCATGCTTCTCCCCTTTCACGCTATTGCCTGGCGACTGGACGTGCCTCTGTCCCTCAAATGCATTGAGCACTGTGTGTGCAAGGTTGTTCCCACACACACCCACACTCTCCTTGGCCTGTGGGTGGGGGAGAAGGGAACTAGAAATGGAGCCAGTTACAGAGAGTGATGGTCAAGCTGCTAATCACTGCTCTTCTTCCTAAAGGATGGAAAATATTTTTTAATGAAGAGTTTTGATCAGTTTATGAATAATGGACCTGTAACAGATTAATTAAGGAGACTAGGATTTCCTTGTGTGTGTGGAGAGTGGGGATCTTGGCAAGAGAAATGCCAGTGGCCTCTCTCACTCCCCCTGGGGACTCCTGGCAGAGATGGGCAGGAACAACTTCTGGTTTGATCTAAGGTGGTATTTCTACTGGATTAAATGGTGGGTTCCAATATGAATTAGGCTGCTCCAACAAAAATTCCCCAAGATATAGTGGCTTAAGACAGAAACGTATGCTTCGTGTGAAAGTCTGGGTAGGTGGTCCAGGCAGGTTTGGTGGCCTGATGGTGTCGTCTCCTGTCTCATGGTTCCTCCATCACCTTGGGTAATGCTTATGTCCATGGAATGGAAGGTGGCTGCCACCCCATCATCTGGGTCCATATTCCCACTGGGGAAAAGAGGGAGAGGGGAGGTGTGTGAGAAGACCTGAAGACCCAGAAGCTGCCCCCTCTTAGCCACATGGCCCCACCAAGCTGCAAGGCTAGCAAGGAAATGGGGGTTTTCGCTGGATGGCTCTATGTGTATGTAAAATTTGGGAGCCTTGTCACCATGGAAAAGGTAAGAATGGATTTAGAGGATAACTGGCAATCTCTACCACAAATGAGGTTTAGGGCTTGTGCCCTGCGACAGGGAGCAAATCCCTCTCTAACACTGAAGCCACATGAGTTGGCACTCTTGGCTCTCCCAGCCCGTCCCAGAAGCCAACAATCAGGTTGGAGGGGCCCTCAGTGAAGTCCAGCCAGGCTTTTGCCTCATGTCTGTGACCTGTTGGCTGCCTCTTCCTTTAAAGTTCTCGTCTTCCATGACATGCTCCTTCTTTCCTTGTTATTCTACCTCTTGGCTTCCTTTTTCTTTGCTGCCCCCTCCCTCTCACCACTCAACTGTGGATGGTCCCCAAACTGCTCTGCTTACACGGGAGATGGCCCAATCTGCCCCTCCACTCCCAGCAGTTCCCTCCTCAGCACCCGCCTGCCACTTGCTCTGCTGAGCCATCTGGTTATCCTAACAGTGTGACATGGTCAGAGTGGATTTGATTTGTCCTTCCCCTAAGCCACTTGCACTCGCCAGCTTTTCCACTTCAGACAGACGTTGGACACAGTGAGGCCGACAGCAGCGGCCCTGGAATACTTGTCCTGGGCCAGGACTGCAGGCTTCCCAGCCTTACCCAGTCACCGGGCTGAACACCCTGGACTCTTCATGCCACACCTGTGTCCATCGGTCACCAGATTCTGCCACCTGTCCCTGGCTAGCCTGATGCTGCAGCAGCCTCCCTGCTCGTCCCCAGCCTGTGTCCCCTGCCAGGCCCATCTTCCAACAAGCCGCTATCTTGGTCACCTCCCTTTCTGCAGTAGGACTTGAATTCCTCCCTGTTGCTCTTCACTCTGAGTCCAAACTGCCCGACCTGGCTTTCGTGGTCCTCTGCCAAGTCATTGTTTCTTTTGAATAACTCATTTCTTTCGTTTTTGTCAACAAATGCGGGTTTAGTGCCTCCTGTGTATGCCAGGTAGTATGCCAGGCTCTAAGTATACCATAATGAGAAAGACAGACATGGCCCCTGCCCCCAGGGGATTCATTCTAGTGGGAAGACATACAAAGAAAACGAAACCCAAAGCATTGCAGATGGCGAGAGAAGTGCTGAGGGGGCCACAGATGGGAGGCTTCCCTTGAGGGAAGAAAGCCGTTCTCATCACTGCTGCATCCTGTGCCTTCATTTGTGCTCTTCACCTGCTAGACTCTTGCCCTCTTTCCAGCCTCC